TTTATGTCAAATTATTTTCTCGATTTTTTAACTCTAATTTTTAAAGCCAAATTAAGTTTTTTAATTTTGGGCGTGACATCGTATTAAAACGATCATCGATCCCCTTCGTTGGGCGACATATCGATTCAAATATCGGATCCACTTTAAATCTTGACACAACCGGTGTATCGTAGAACATCCTATTTATAAGATTTTTTTTTTAACGACGGTCCCTATCAAATATGAGACTTGAAGAATTTGTATTTTTGGTCAAATGACGATCCCTATCGGATAGGAGATTTTGCCGAGATTTTTATTATTTATTTATAAAATCATTTACAAGTTCGGAGTTGTCACCTATTATTAAGGAACTACGAACCCAAAAGTAGTATTGATTAAGAGATTCTATGGTAAGGAGTTGGTTATGTTTTTGAAAAGATATTTAATCACCCAAAAGTACCTTCTTCGAAGAAAGGAACTTGTCCGGCTTAATCCTAAATTCATCTCCTAAAGTGTTTTATTTATGTCAAATTATTTTTCGATTTTTTAACTCTAATTTTTAAAGACAAATTAAGTTTTTTAGTTTTGGGCGTAGCATCGTTTTGAAACGATCGTCACTTATTATTAAGAAACTAGGAACCTAAAAATAGTACTAATTCGGAGATTCTATGATAAAGAATTGGTTACACTTTTAAAAAGATATTTAATCACCCAAAAGTGCCATTTTCAAAGAAAGGAACACGTCCGGCTTAATCCTAAATTCATCTTCTAAAGTGTTTTATTTATGTCATATTATTTTTTGATTTTTAACTCTAATTTTTAAAGCCAAATTAAATTTTTTTGTTTTGGACGTGTCATCGTATTGAAACGATCGTCGATCCCTTTCGTTGGGCGACACGTCGGTTCAAACATCGGATCCACTTTAAATCTCGACACAATCGGTGTGTCGGAGAACATCTTGATTATAAGATTTTTGCAACGACAAGTCTCTATCAAATAAGAGACTTTAAGAATTTGTATTTTTGGTCAAATGACGAGTCCCTATCAAATAGGAGACTTCATTGATAATTTTATATTATTATTTATATTTTTTTTGTTCAAATGACGATCCATATATCGGATAGAAGATTTCCCCGAGATTTATATTATTTATTTACGTAATTATTTATAAGTTTGGAGTCGTCACCTATTATTAAAGAACTAGGAACCTAAAAGTAGTACTCGGTTCGGAGATTCTATAGTAAGGAGTTGGTTATGTTTTTGAAAAGATATTTAATCACCCAAAAGTGCCCTCTCCGAAGAAAGAAACATGTGTGGCTTAATTCTAAATTCATCTCCTAAAGTGTTTAATTTATGTCAAATTATTTTCTCGATTTTTTAACTCTAATTTTTAAAGCCAAATTAAGTTTTTTAGTTTTGGGTGTAGCACCGTATTGAAACGATCGTCGATCTCCTTCGTTAGGGGACATATCGGTTCAAACATTGGATCCACTTTAAATCTCAACACAACCAAGTGTGTTAGAGAACATCCCGATTATAAGATTTTTATAACGACACTCCCTATCAAATAGGATATTTATATTTTTTTGTTCAAACGACAATCTCTATCGGATAAGAGACTTCATTGACAATTTTATTTTATTATTTATGTTATTTTGTTCAAACGACAATCCATATATCATATAAGAGACTTTGTTGAGAATTTTTATTATTTATTGGTAAAAAGAATTATCATTAGTCCCTAAAAAAATTATGAAACTCGATAATTCTTTTATCAAATAATTATCTAACCTAATAACTAACATAAATTCTAAATTTGTAAAAAAAAAAAAAAAGGTGTTTAATATATATATAACGAGAAATAAAAATAATTAAGATATAAAAAATAATAATAAAATAAAATCAAAATGTTAAAAGAAATCATTTTGAGCCCCAAGCCCATTAACCCATATCTTATTTTTGTCCTACTCTTTCTTTGTTTTTTTAGTCTTTATTTTATATTTTTTTTCTAGTTTCATTCTTTTTTTTTTTTTTTCTGGAGAGGCTGGGCTGATCGAATCCAACCTTTTTTTTTTTTTTTTGGGAAAAAGTGGGGAGCTGGACTGAATCCATCCTCTTTCCCTATTATTATTATTTTATTTTGCTAGGTTGGGGCTGGGTTAAAGCCAGCACAGCCTTTCATTTCATGTGGGTTAATATTTTCAATTCCTCATTTTTAAGTTGTCCCTCCCTAGCTGCTTCTCTGGATAAGTGTTGCCTTTTTATAGAAGGTCAAAAAGCTTTTAGATTTTATCTTAACGTCACCACCCCATTTATTGCTTGCCGAACTCTGTACGCTCCTTCCTGTGATGGCTTGACAGCTAGTGGATTCGCCTTCACTTCAGGCAAGAAAAGAGTGAGAATTCATTATTCCTATGGTCGTAGGCACTGATAAAATCAGGTTCGGTTTTGTAAGTTCAGTCGCGAAAAAGGACGGGAGTCTGTCAGACAACCGCATGACCATCCCCAAGCCAGATCAGTGGCCGAAGAACGATCCTCTGCAGCTATGATGATCGTCAAGACCATCAAACCGTTACTCACGCTATGATCACACGGTCATGATTCATCAACCAGACTTAGGTTCCTGTCTTCTTAGTGTTTAAGGATACAGAGGTACGATCCTATAGAACAGATCCTGTTCAAGTAAGGTCGTGCCTTATGCTGTTTCTCATCTCTCTATTAACCTACTTTCTACCTCGTCTGTTTTCGATATGGTATACTTCAAAACTGTCCCATCACAGGGTATTTTTGTCCAAAGGGAAAGAGTTAGCGCGTCTTTTGCTTCTAAAGTCCAGATAAAACCAAGAGAGTGCTAGCGAAAGTACTAGGATACCCCCGAGCTGCTGCGTTGTTACTGTGATAGTATTGTAGACTTAAGGTCTGATTATTGCTTCAGAATTATTCAGTAGCTAAATACTACAGTTGTTGGATGCGGCAACATTAGAGGTGGACAATGAAATCGTTTGCCAAAATACAATTATTATTCAGAAAATTTCGGTTAGCTTTCTGTGTTTGCAATGTCTTTGATGTTCATTTAATTCATCCCAACAAACATGTTATCCACATAGTGGATAACTTGAGAGGTCCGAAGAGTCTTTGATTTTATGAGTTTGAATTTTGGAGATTAGTATAAGAAGGATTTACTTTTTGTTTTTTCTTTAAATATACTATACCGATGCAAAGATGCATCATTAAAATTGTTTGGAAAAAAAAAAACAATCTCAAGTAATACATAAACGGATATGAGAATATCTTTTATCATATAATAATAATAATAATAATAAATAAATAAATAAATATATATATATATATATATATATATATATATAATGATTACAGATTAGTATACAATTGGATTTTCACTGAATTAATGCATAAAACTAGGCAATGTTATGTGTATTATTTTTTTTATTTTATTTTTTTAGGAACAGGGGTGATATGCTAGAGTGTATTAGAATAAAAGTGGAAGCTTATAAGAGGGGGACGATCCAGTCTAGCCCAACAAACTAAGGGCAAGGAAGCCTATACCCCTGAAAGAACATTACAGAATATTTTCCTGAACTAAGGAAACAAAGAATTTCCTGATATATTAATACAGAGACATTTCTTGACAGCAGTTTACAAGGAACTGAAAATTCCCTGTAAACATATTATGGACCAATCTCTGAAAGAATATTGCAGTGAAAATCCTTGGTAAAGCGAAAACCATGACTGAGAAGAACTCTATAAAACATTGCAAAAATTTTCCTGATAATAATTGCTGGAGCGAAACCTGAAGTGAACATGCATGATACCAATTAAGATCTGAGAAGAAAGATCAATCTTAAGTACCTCTGAAAGTGAACGTCCCAATTCTATCATCTGATATTGGCTGACGACACCGAGTTGGTAAGTCAATTGGTGCGAATATTACTTTACTGGTTTTGTGCCGTAGTGTCCAATCCGCTAGTCTATCTGGATCTCTATTGCCTTCTCTATGTGTATGCTGAAGTCTTATGTCTGAACTGATATAATTCCCAACCTCTCTGAAAATATAAGTTAACTACCAAGGGATAGCCTGAAATTGTGATAAATTCCCCAATACTAGAGCTGAATCGATCTCCAAAATTTTCGGTTGGACAGAGAATTCCCTGCACAGTTTAATGCCTTCCAAAACTGCTAGAGCTTCTCCTTTGTTATTCGATCCCGAACCAAAAAATTTTGAGAAAGCCATTACCATATTGCCAAATTCATCACGAAGTATGTCTCCCTCGCTACACAAATTACCCTTCGAGGCACCATTCGTATTCGGCTTAAGAATCCCTGAAGGATGGGGATGCCATTTAATCCATTGTCCTCTTATAGGGAGAGAAGCTCGTACTGGTACTCCCAAACTGTTGAGACACACACTATCATGGAAAGATGCTGGAGATTTAGGAACAAACAGCATGGTTAGCTCATTAATCCAATGCAGCACTTTGTATTTTATTTGAGCCATATTCTTTCTACCATCTTCAAATATAGCTTTGTTTCTAGACAGCCAAATTGTACAGTTGAAGACAACCATACGAGTAAAGTTCTTTTGAGATAAACATTTACATTTGGGTAGCCAAGATGAAAGTATACTCCTGAAAGAATCCTGTCTTGGCGATATATCTAGGATCCGACCAAAAAAACTCCACAGCTGCATTGCTATTTCACTGTGCAGAAATAAATGTTCCCTTGTCTCTATTGCAGCATTACTGCATTGCTATTTCACTGTGCAGAAATCCCACAAGACTGAATATTTCCATTCATTACAACAGCATTATGCAGGACTTTCCAAACCAAGACTCCCATCTTTTTGGGAATCCATTTGTTCCATAAGCTCCTCCACCACTCGAATTTTGGGCCAACTATTCTGCCTCATGAAACTCCTTGGTATTAAAACTGCCAGACGTAGAATCCATATAACACAATCTTTCTGCAATAGTCTCATCAAGGTACAACAGCTCCAGTTCATTTCAGACTACTGCAGGCAGTAGGTTAAGCAACGCAGGATCCTTTTTGGCTTGAGAACCTGAAATTTCTAGGCTTGTTGTGGGTTCTGGAAGAGTGGTCATTGCCCATTTTTCTTGCCATAGCCGAATGTGTCCTGAACCTGCCACCCATATAGATTTGTCCAGAAGAGAGCTTATTTGAGTTAATAAGGATCTCCGCACCAGTGAGCCTATGCGATAATTAACTGCTGAGAAATTAGCAGGATCCCCATATTTGGCCCTTACAAAAGTACTCCATATTGACTTGCTGGATAGATATGCCCAAGCCAGTTTCCCTTTCATGGCTTTCATGACTTCTCCTAAATCTTTAACTCCCAGTCCTCCTTCTTGCATAGGAAAGGAAATTTTAAATTCAATGCAGTCAAAAAGCCAAACCCAGTCCCACAGAGTTGAAAATGAATATGACCTTATGTACTGGCTTCAGCAAAAAAGACTAGTGAATTGAATCCAAAATTATCATCAACCATCGTATGGGAAGTGATGGAGGCACTCCCAGCCATCGGATTCCTTCTCATTTCTCTCTCTATAGTATCAATGCATAACCTGCCTTTGTTCGCTTCCTGCCCTTGCTCTGTTTTAGCAAGATAGTCTTTTGGCAGATGCTAATAACGCTTTGCCCATCTGTGGTGGAACATAATGATACTCATAACGATGTTTTAACAAATGCGAAGAAGAAGAAACTTTGGAGTAAAATCCAGTTATTCAAAAACAAGTCTACCGATAAAGTTAATTTAGTCATAATCTCTTACTGTAGCGAGAGAGAAATAAAATTTGAAGTATGTTATTACAAAAATAAGACTCAATCAATGTTATTTTCTATAAAAATGAGGATTTTTTGTTTAAATTAATTGTTTCTCTCTCTCTTCTCTATGTCCAGATACCAAACTACCATATCAGTAAAATTAAAAATCAAAACAAAGTTTCTTTTTAAAAGAAATAGATATCAAAGTGTAAAGTTTGTTAAAACTTGCATATCAAATGTCTTAAAGAAAACTTAAAAATCACAATAATGCTATTAGTGAATATTGAGTATGAATCTTGGTGAATAATATTACAATAAAAGATAATTCGTTGTTAATTTTTAATGTGAGAAAGTGGAATAAAAATCGAAAAATTACACTGAAAACCAAATTTTTTCTGTGAATATTTAGATGGATATATTCAAATGGGAATGAAATATATTGTAAAATAGCAATTAACTCTACAATGGTAGTGTTGGAAAATAAATTGGTATGACAAATGTTATTCTTATTCCATCAAATTATAAAGGAGCTAATTTAACAAATTTTCATCTTTTTTAAATGAAAGTTCTAGGATATTTAATAATAAACCTAGATAGAAAACCTCTAAGACTGATATTAAATCAAATAAAATAAATATCAACTTAAGAAACATTCACAAAATTTGACATAATTGATCATTCTCTTGATATTTGAATTTTTTTTTTTAATTTCCACGACAATGAGTATTTTAGACTAAGTGTTGCCTTTTTATAGAAGGTCAAAAAGCTTTTAGATTTTATCTTCACGTCACCACCCCATTTACTGCTTGCCGAACTCTGTACGCTCCTTCCTGTGATGGCTTGACAGCTATAGTGGATTCGCCTTCACTTCAGGTAAGAAAAGAGCGAGAACTCATTATTCCTATGGCGGTTTTGTAAGTTCAGTTGCGAAACAAGAAAGAAGTCCGTCAGACAACCGCATGACCATCCCCAAGCCAGAACAGTGGCTGAGGAACGAACCTCTACACCCATGACGATCGGCAAGACCATCCAACCGTTACTCACGCTATGATCACACGGTCATGATTCATCAACCAGATTTGGGTTCCTGTCTCTTTAGCGATTTAGGATACAGAAGTACGATCCTATTGAACAGATCCTGTTCAAGTAAGGTCGTGTCTGATGCTCTTTCTCACCTCATTATTAACTTGCTTACTACCTCGTTTGTTTTCGATATGGTATAATTCAAAACTGTCCCATGACAGGGTATTTTTGTCCAAAGGGAAAACGTTAGCGCGTCTTTTGCTTCTAAAGTCCAGATAAAACCAAGAGATTGCTAGCGAAAGTACTAGGATACCCCCGAGCTGCTGCGTTGTTATTGTGATAGTATTGTAGAATTATTGCTTCAGAATTATTCAGTAGCTAAATGCTACAGTTGTTGGATGTGGAAACATTAGAGGTGGACAATGAAATCATTTGCCAAAATACAATTATTATTCAAAAAATTTTGGTTAGCTTTCTGCTGTCTTTGATGTTCATTTAATTCATCCCAACAAAAATGTTATCAAGATAGTGTATATAACTCAAGAAGTCGAAATAGTGATTAAGGTGTGTTTTTTTCCTGGATTTTCTAAGTTTTAATTTTCAGACTAGTACTGGAGGGATTTTTTTTTAATGCACTAGAAGAATGTAGAGATATATTTTTTAAATCGTATAAAGAAGAGATTTAATCTCAATTAACGTATAAACTAATATGAAAATATCCTCTATTAGTCTAAAAAAAAATAGGGAGAATAATATAAGTATACAACAAATCTCTGTTGATGACTGAGATTTTAGATTTTCTCTGGATTACTATGTACGAATCTGCATTTAAACTTATGTATCTCTTGGTCCTCAATAGTTATATAAATTGAGATTAGACAAGTACTACGTAAATTACTCTCTCATGTTTTTATTGGTAAAAAAAAAAAAAATCGAGAACAAAAGCATTATGCACTTGAGCCTCTAAATAACTATTCGAAGTAAATTTACAAAGGAGCAAAATTAAATAAATTCAAGCATTAGAAAGACTAGAAATTAACATGTGAAAATAGTCTAAAAGCCTAGAGAACAAAAGCATTATGATACGTTGCTTAATAAAACAAATGGGTATCCCATCAGCTTCTTTGCTGTTACTGTGATACTGTAGTCACACCCCATCAGGTGAAAAGGAGGACACAATGCTTAAAATGTGTGACATGGGTCTCATTGACCATTCATTTGGCCACTAAAATAGCTAGAAATAAAAAATAGTATAAATTAATTTTTTCTCTCTCTTCTCTACATCCAGATACCAAACTACGATATAAATAAAATTAAAAATCAAAATAAAAGTTTTTTTTTAAAAAAATAGATATCAAAGTGTAAATTAAAAAGAAATAGATATCAAAGTGTAAAGCTTTTTAAAACTTACACATCAAATCTCTTAAGAAAACTTACAAATCACAATAATGCTATTAGTGAATATTGAGTATGAATCTAGGTGAACAATACTACAATAAAAGATAAATTCACTGTTATTTTTTAATTTGAGGAAGTGGAATGAAAGTCAGAAAATTAAACCGAAAACCAAATTTTTTCTGTGAATATTTAGATGGATATATTCAAATGGGAATGAAATATATTGTAAAATAGCAATTAACTCTACAATGGTGGTGTTAGAAAATAAATTGGTATGACAAATGTTATTCTTATTCCATCAAATTATAAAGAAGCTAATTTAACAAATTTTCATCTTTTTTAAATGAAAGTTCTAGGATATTTAATAATAAACTTAGATAGAAAACCCCTAAGACTAATATTAAATCACATAAAATAAATATTAAACTAAGAAACATTCACAAAATTTGACATAATTGATCATTCTCTTGATATTTGAATTTTTTTTTATTTCCACGATAATGAGTATTTTAGACTGCTTTGTTTATCAATTGAGACTGAATTTCTCTCTAAATGTTTGTAGAGAAACACTCTCCCATCAACCTAATGCATTCACATTCTAAAACAAGACGTTAATTTTTATTTTCTTTTTATTGTATCAGTACATACAGTCTCCTCATCTCAACCTAGTTGCTTTGGAAGAAAAAACTATGATTACATTGATATTGATATTATCATATATAAGATACTAAGTATATCATAAATCTTAAACATACAAATGGTCGAGTGATATTCTTGTAAAATTTGTAAAAATTAGCGTACCAAAGATTTCGAATTTGAGTAAAGGTTGTAATCCTTTTATTTTATTTTTTTGACGAGAAATCATATTTTTGAATCTATTTATACCTCAATCGAGATTAGATATTTTCTTTTGATTATTTTAAAGAGGTATCTCTCACCTCAATCTACTTTTACCCATCAAAAAAATCCTTCCAGATTTCACTTCTTCAATCACACTTCATGAATTAGCACCAAGTTAAAAATATATTTTCACCAATTTTCTGACGAAAATAACCAAAAAGTTAAAATTATTGTATGATATTTAAATTATCATGGAATTCAATTGTGTATATGTTAAGAAATAAAATTGTCAAATCTTGTAACTATAAGATTTTTTTTATTCATTGCAAATATAGTATTTTAAGGGCGATAACCAGCCGAACTCTAACACATATGCCCATCAAGTTATTTAGGGACCGTTTGGTATATATATATATATATTAGAAAATAAAAAAGTGTTTGTTTGGCTAGTTTTTTGTTTTTTTAGAAAATAACTAGTTGGATATCCGCTCTACGCTGCAGATAGACAACCGTTACATACATAAGGTTAATAATTCGTATGGTGTAATACTAATAGAAAGTTTTATTTTTAATGATTGATATAAATTAGATCTATATATAGTTAATTTCTAACCAATATACATATACGCACACACACACACACACACATAATAGATTGAAAATATATAGAATAACGCCCCCACCCCGGTTCACTCTCTATTACCCATATAAGAGTAACTAGGCGAGGCACGTCACGCCGACACGATCAATTTCTGAATTTACCTTAAACACATGTGTGTTTATACATTAAGGACTTATCATACAATAAAACGTGACCAAGACAATTTATATAATATTAACAAGACAATGGAAGAAATTACAAAATTTATTTACAATACCATCAAAATATTCATTGACACCCACCCCAAAATTACAAATAAACAAAATAAAATCCCCTAAGGTTTATGTCACCCCCGAGCCCTTTTGGAGGATCCGACGGTGTCCTTATTAATACTTCAATCAACGTTACTTGTCATGACATGCAAATAACAACGAGGTAAGCCAAAGCTCGGTAAGTAGGGTGATGTACATGATATGCAATGAAGTTCTATTTTCCATTCTACCCATCCATTTTTAATTCGGGTACCCTAGAAATTAGCAAGCTCGTGCGTTTCATCTCTCGGTGATCTCATTATCACCTATTGCTCACAATAGAATTACCCCTCGTTGTAGCACACAGTTAGTGAAATCATCCCTCGCTTAACGATGTTAGTAATAGAGCACGCACATAGTTTCCTGCGGTTACCCATTCTATTCGGTTCGCTTACCAAACCGTTTTATCTCATGACTCAATGATGTTTCTCGATTTCATATCACCCCCGAATGCACGTGATGCACATGGTATTATGTTTAACACATTCGACTAATTATGCTATCATCATTTTCTTCTCGGACCATTCTCGTGTCCGACGCACACTCGGGACTTCATAAGCGTTTCGTGTACCATTTAAAGTATTC